TGTAGTGGCAGGGGCCTGTAATCCCAGCTACTCGGGAGGCTGAGGCACGACACCTGCTTGAACCTGGGAGGTGGAGGTTGCAGTGAGCCGAGATCACGCCACTGCACTCCAGCCCGGGTGACAGAGTGAGACTCTGTTTTTTGTTTTTTGTTTTTTTTTAAAAAAAAAAAGGCCACGGGCAGTAGCTCACGTTTGGAATCCCAGCACTTTGGGAGGCCAAGGCAGGTAGATCACGAGGTCAGGAGATTGAGACCATCATGGCTAACACAGTGAAACCCGTCTCTACTAAAAATACAAAAAAATTAGCCAGGCGTGGTGGCAGGCGCCTGTAGTCCCAGCTACTGGGACTTGCAGTCCAGAGCTTGCAGTGAGCTGAGATCGCACCACTGCACTCCAGCCTGGGAGACTGAGCAAGACTCCATCTCAAACAAACAAACAAAACAAAACTTCTAACTGGTCTACAATAAAATTAATGTGGGTAAAAATATCAGTTAGCAAGTAATCCTAGAAGAGGAAAACAAAAAGTAGAAAAAAGCTTGAAACAGGTTATATGAGTTCTAATAAAGGATATATTTAGATTTAAAAGACACTGCCTATGTAATTTTTTTGTTTTGTTTTTTGAGATGGAGTCTTGCTGTCAACAGACTGGAGTGCAGTGGTGCAATCTCAGGTCACTGCAACATCTGCCTCCCTGGTTCAAGCAATGCTCCTGCCTCAGCCTCCCAAGTAGCTGGGACCACAGGCACATGCCACCATGCCCAACTAATTTTTGTATTTTTAGTAGAGACTGGGTTTCACCATGTTGTCCAGGATGGTCTCGATCTCTTGACCTTGGGATCCACCCGCCTTGGCCTCCCAAAGTGCTAGCATTACAGGCATAAGCCACTGTGCCCGGCCAAAATTGCCTAAGTATTAAGCCTGTCAATTGACACAGAATGCCTAACAGTTCTATGAATATTTCTCAAAAGTCAATATTGCTAAGCTGTAATAAATTACATTGTCTATGATATGTTCTTACATTAGGCTAATGGCCAGGAATCAGGTATGTCTTCCCTTACTGTTTTCCTTTACGAATATGAAAAATACCACCAAATTCTTCCTTTTAAAAGGACTCAAATGGGCCAGGTGTGGTGACTCACACCTGTAGTCCCAGCACTCTGCGGGGCTGAGGCTAGAGAATCACTTGAGCTCAGGAGTTCGAGGGCAGCCTGGGCAACTGGTAAAACCTCATTTCTACAAAAAAATCCCCCAAATTAGCAGGGCATGGTGCTGTGCGCCTGTAGTCTCAGCTACTCTGGAGACTGAGGTGGGAGGACTGCTTGAGCTCAGGAGGCAGAGGCTGCAGTGAGCCACCGTACTGCAGCCTGAGCAACAGAGCAAGAACACCCCCCACTCCCCTAAAAAGGACTAAAATGAAATCAAAACTTACCAAGAGTTTATCAGCTATTCCTTCATGTTTATTTCTGCACTCTGTCTTCCCAATGCGTTGGTTCAATTCTTTCAGTTTCTTATCAAATAGTTCGTAATTTATACTATAGATCTCCTGTTGAATCAAATGTCTGACCTAGAATTTTAAAATAAAAACCAAAACACCCCACGTTTCAAATTTAAAAGCAATTTTACTTTCTACTTAAAAAAAAAAGCCATGCTCTTTTCCAGATTTACTATAACCAATTATAGTTTATTTATTTATATTTGTATGTTCATATAACTATACCAGTAAGTTTTATAAAACTTGAATATTAAACTCAGAACACACCCAATATTTAAGTATACTGGACATGTTAGAAATTAAATTTATTCTCATAATGCTGACTTTAGTTTCCTAGAGTTCCACTTGAATTCCATATTATACATTATAGAAACAATTAAAAGACTATATACCATTTATATTTTTTAATGTCTATAACTCCTAGTTAGTATTCCATATAAAGGAACTCTGAAAACCAGAGCCTGATGAAAATGGTTGGTCTGTAGTAGATATAGAACAAATTACACAAGTGTGAGACTGGACATTACCACTAATGAGCTACCTTTAGTCAGTCGCATTATTTTTGAGCTTCATTTTCCTTCTTGACAAATGAGTAGATAATATAATAAATGTTGAACAAGCGATACTCAAAGGATTTTTATAGGAACATAAAGTAATACGCAAAAGAGTACCATAAAATAGAAAACACTGAATTGATATGAAAGAAATAAATACGCAAGATAATCACCACTACTTCCATAACTTTTTAGGGCGTGGCTTTCTTGTTGTTAAAATTTAAATATCAATCGGCTGGTTAGCTCAGCTAGTTAGAGCATGGTGCTAAAACTGAAAGAAGGGTACAATAGCTCATGCCTGTAATCCCAACACTCTGGGAGGCCGAGGTGGGCAGATCACGAGGTCAGGAGTTGAAGACCAGCCTGACCAACAGGGTGAAACCCCGACTCTACTAAAAATACAAAAATTAGCCAGGCATTGTGGCAGGCGACTATAGTCCTAGCTACTCAGGAGGCTGAGACAGGAGAACTGCTTGAACCCGGGAGGTGGAGGTTTCAGTGAGCCGAGATCACGCCACTGTACTCCAGCCTGGGTGACTGAGCAAGACTCCACCTCAGAAAAAAAAAAAAAAAAAAAAAGTAGGGGGGAAGCCAAGGACAATTATGTAGTTACCAATGTTATCTGGCATCATGTATGCCGTTCTAACAAATTGTAGTAGTTATAATATGAAAAATTAACAAACTTCATTATCTTTTTTTTTTGAAAACAGACTGGCCCATTTTCAGGGAGAATAATTTCAATGCCACTGATAGGACCAGCTCTGCTGAGCCATACATTGAAAATAACTACAATGCCACTGATATGAGCAGCTCTGCTGAACCATACATTCAGAAACATTCACTGTAGTTTTTTACTCAGTGTGTATCCTTCTGGTAAGCAATTTTCATCACAGTGTATGTAGTCTTTGTTAATATGACCTGCTATGCTACATTTAAAGTATTTAAAATATTTACATATTTTTTCCTCCAGTATCTTGCTTCATGATGCTCAAAACAGAACACATAGTTCCCACGTTAAACTCTTATATTGATATCACCTGGATGATTATATTCTTTAATTTTGATCATTCCCAAGGCTCTTCCTTCCTGTTTCCAAGCGTTCTTACTCTTCAACATTGTCTACTTGATCTCTTCTCTAATGCTTGCTTCACTAACATTTCTTCCATGGTTTCTCTACATTATTAGACATGATTGTCACTTTACTTTCATAACTTTTAAACAGGTGAGCAAATGAATGTGCTCAAAATGTATTATGTTTAAAAAAAGGCTTAGAAACACATACTATTATTATTATTATTATTTTTTTTGAGACAGAGTCTTACTCTGTTGCTCAGGCTACAATGCAGTGGCGTGATCCCAGCTCACTGCAACCTCCACCCACCAGGTTCAAGTGATTCTCCTGCCTCAGCTTCCCTAGTACCTGAGACTACAGGCATGCTCCACCATGCCCAGCTAATTTTTATATTTAGCTGAGACAGAGTTTCGCCATTGTTGGCCAGGTTGGTCTTGAACTCCTGACCTCAAGTGATCCACCCGCCTTGGCCTCCCAAAGTGCTAGGATTACAGGCATGAGCCACCATGTCCGGCCAATACTATTATTTTTACCGATGACCATTACCTATTATTCGTGTGGTGTTTTATGATCACATGTTTGTTAGTTCACTGGCTGGGTTCAATATGTGAAGCTCATACCCACATGAATCTTGGAGAAACAGATCTAAATGTTTTGAAAGTGGAGACACTGTTTTGTACAGTGTTTCTCTAACAGTGTTCCTCATCCTTGGTGAGGAACAATCACAGGGAATGGTTGTTAAAATCAAATTCCTAGGCCCCATCCTGGATCCACCAAACACAATCTTTTGGAAAGGAGCCTGGAAAGTTGTATACTAAACAGTTACTACAAATTGTTTTTATCAGGTACGTTTAAGAAAGCAGTAGCCTAAAACAACAGTCTTCAACCATGAGTTCAAGAAACCACAATTTAAACAAGTACTCCCTGGTGGTTCAGATTGGGACAGGTCCTTAAATTTAATCATTTTAGACTAAGTACCCACCATGGGGTAACTCCTGTCGGTTAGACTATACATTTGTTCTAATTTAATGGTAATGTTCCTTATACAGAAGGAAGACACAATAACCTCCATCAAATACCTCATAAATGTTTTTACCAATGGTAATGTGCCCATCAACAGGGAATCAGATTGAAGTCTTAGTTTCAAAGCGGAGATGGCAGCCAAACTGGCCTGAAGTTTGGAGAAAGTATAAACTTATCTCCAATCTGTGCCAACTTTCTGAGATAGTGGGTAGAGTGAATAACTTAAGACTGTAAAGGAAAAACCCTTCCTCTTCAGTAATTTAACTGGAATTAACCAGGCCATGCTCCTTATGAAACCTCAAAAGGCTAAGAAACGATCACTGTAGGACTCTTTCAGTAGGGGAGAACAATGTCAGAATGATGGGGAGGGCTATCTCATTGAGATTCAAACAAAGTAAACATATAGATATGGTTTAGAGAGATAACTGTTTGGGCAGGAATAAGAAGTGAGGAAAAGCTAGCTATTTAGAGATGGTTATGTACACATCAGAACTTACTTCTGGCTGGGTGCGGGGACTCACACCTGTAATCCCAGCACTTTGGGAGGCCGAGGTGGGCGGATCACTTGAGATCAGCAGTTCAAGACCAGCCTGGCCAACATGTCAAAACCTGTCTCTACTAAAAATACACACAAAAAATTAGCTGGGCATGCTAGTGCACACCTGTAGTCCCAACTGCTCAGGAGGGGGAGGTAGCACTGAGCCAAGACTGTGCCACTGCACTCCAGTCTGGGTGACAAAGTGAGATTCTGCCTCAAACAAATGAGCAAACAGAAACTTCTCACTTCAGCTACTAATTACTGGAAACAAGACACAGCTGGAATCCCCAACCTTCTTCTTGAATAACATGGTCCTTAGGACTAGGATCTATGCTTACCATACTTCTACCCTTTCCCTGCCAACAAAAGAACACTTACATATTTTTTATTGTGTCTCCTTTGCTCTTCTTTGAAGAAAACCAAAAGGTAGACTGGGAAAAACTGCCGACTCACCCTTTAAGCTGGTTCTGTATAAGTCTTTCTCTTTATTTTCCCTTACTATTAGGTGAAGAATACACATTCATAGTATATGTAACTATGTAATTGTAATGGTCTGTTTACAAAAGTAGTGTTTGTTTCTGAAACAGTTGCAGGGCAGTTTGGATGGGGACATTTTGGTCCATTACAGCTGGGAGACATTAGTCTACCACATAATGATTTATAGTGGTGGCATTCTAGTGGTAGTGAAATAGGAAAACATGGTCATCAAAACGCGTCCTGAGTATAGCCATTCTACTAGAACTGAAACACGCTACACTTCAGCTAAAAATTGATCAGACACATATTGAGACTGTAGTACAATGAGGTAAAATGAGGCCACAATGAAAGCAAGAAGTGTATTTAATGATGCTATAAAGCCAAATGTCAGACAATGCATCATATCCGTTTAAGTTTGGAAAATAGGGCAAGGAAACCTGAATGCAGAGGGACTTTGCAATGGACTTTCAGGTTGAGTCTTCTGGGTTGTGGTGAGATCTACAAACGGATATAGCTGCAGATCTAAGAACCCCATGACTAGTACAAAAGACACTGGATTGTTTAACAAAGCTGAAGGTCATGCAGTGTCTGACTTACAGACAAATCTGAGTGTAATACTGACTGAAAGCCCACTCTCTTTTTGCAACAGGACTCTACCTACACATGATCCCTAGGTTATTCTGCATGAGAGCATTTTCAAGAAACCAGAGCTGTTTGGTGATGTAAATAATTCTCTCTCCCCAGTCTGTCTGATAACTTGGCTTTCACATACCAGCTTTGCATCAAGTCAAAGTTGTCTGTGTTATGTCATTGTGGAGACCAGATAATTAACTTTTACCATGTTTTACTAATCAAAAGTAAAAGTTTTATTTAAGCCCCAATATTTTACCTGTTCCAGGAATGCTGTTTGCCTTTCCAAACTTACACAAATATTTTCAGTAATTTGCTCTGAAGTTTTCATGCGTTTAACATTTTCTTTATTTTCTGAAAACATTCTCTTCTTTTGATAATGGCCTTGAGGAGATGGAAAAATTAGAAAGATATTTTAAAGAAAAAAACAAGTTCATCGTGGTGGCTCATGTCTGTAATCCCAGCACTCTGGGAGGCTAAGGAGGGACGATGGCTTAAGGCCAGGAGTTCAAGACCAGCCTGGGCAACATAGTGAAAATTCATCTCTACAGAAAATTTAAAATTAGCTGGGTATGGTGGGACATGCCTGTAGTCTCAGCTACTCAGGAGGCTCAGGTGAGAGGATTGCTTGAGCCTGGGAAGTTGAGGTGGCAGTGAGCACCTCGACCACTGCACTCCAGCCTGGGCAACACAGTGAGACCCCGTTTCAAGGAAGAAAAAAAGAGAAGGAAATAGGAATTCTCTAACTTAGAGACCCTCTGAGCAAATGGAAAAACTAAAATATGACACTGCAGCATTTTGTAGAATGTTCAATTGAATAAAAACATACCCACAAACTAATCTTAAAAAAAAATGAGTTATCTTAGGTAGGGTTCTGGTCTCAGACACACTGTCCCTTCAATTTTACTTAATAATTCAATACAAATATATGAACAAAAACTTAACAAATTATGCCATTTAATTCTCTATTTATAGTGACTTAAGTGGTTCTACGTTATTTTATATAAAGGTACTCTTTTTTCATTTTGAGAAGGAGTCTCGCTCTTGTCGCCCACACTACAGTGAAGCAGCACGATCTCCGCTCAATGCAACTTCCGCCCCTCCAGGTTCAAGCAATTCTCCTGTCTCAGTCTCCCGAGTAGCTGGGATAATAGGTGCCCCCCACCATGCCTGGCTAATTTTTTTCGTATTTTTAGTAGAGACGGGGTTTCGCCATGTTGGCCAGGTTGATCTTGAACTCCTGACCTCAGATGATCCACCTGCCTTGTCCTCCCAAAGTGCTGGGATTATAGTTGCTAGGCACAGTGCGTGGTTTTTTTTTGTTTTTTGTTTTTTTTTTTTAAGAGACAAGGTCTTGGATCTGTTGCCCAGGCTGGTCTGGAGAGCTTAAGCGATCCTCCTGCCTTGGCCTTCCAAAGTGCTGCGATTACAGGCATGAGCCACCGCACCCAGCCAGTCGTATTATACATATTTTAAATAGATGATACTGTTATTATTTTTAAGTAATTTTAAATTCATCTTGTTAAAAGACCATTCTGTAATCTAGACAAGAACACAACATTTATAGCATTAAATCAGTTTTTTTCTATTTCATTAACAAAACACCCTACTTCAAATGAAATTCACTTTTGCTATTTTAATGATGTTATAACCCAAGGACTTCATTTTACTATTTGGGGTGCTTCTCTTTCTCTACACACACATATATACACGTGTGAATATATTATCTATCATCTTATACTTAGCATGTGATTTACAGGTCAATTCTACAGAAAGAAATAGGGTTGGCTGGGTGTGGTGGCTCACGCCTGTAATCCCAGCACTTTGGGAGGCAAAGGCGGGTGGATCACGAGGTCAGGAGTTCGAGACCAGCATGACCAACATGGTGAAACCCTATCTCTACTAAAAATACAAAAAACAAAAAAAAAAAAAAAAAAAAAACCACTTAGCCAGGCGTAGTGGTGCCCACCTGTAATCCCAGCTACTCAGGAGGCTGAGGCAGGAGAATCACTTGAACCTGGGAGGTGGGGGTTGCAGTGAGCCGAGACTGCGCCACTGCACTCCAGCCTGGGCGACAGAGCAAGACTCCGTCTCAAAAAAGAAAAAAAAAAAGAAAGAAAAGAAAGAAATAGGGTTACCAACAATTTTTAAAACCCACTCTCCTTAAACTAGCCTCCTTCTTAATCTAATAAAACTTCAAAATAAGAAGAGATGTTTATGAAATGAACCAAATAATTGCTATAAACCACCTTTTGATATTTTGTACTTAAGGAAAAGTGATTGATTCCTTCTTTGCAATAATTACCCTTTTAATATAGTGGATACCTGTTCCCCACCTCACCAAGAATGGTTCAGAAACAAGATACTGTGATATTGTTGTCATCATTTACCTTTTTCCTGTCTATATTCTACTTGTTCGTATATTTGAGACTTTAAAATACCCCAAGGAAAACTGACTATTTTAATTTTTCTAAAAGGTGCATAAGTATATACTTACTGTTGTTATTAGTGTCAAGTGATGACTGCCATGTTGAGTCTGCAGTTTCACAATTTGAAATACTGGAAGGACAGGTTCTACTACACTCATTGGTTTTCAAAATGTCATCAGCACAGTGGTTAGAAGTGACTGAATTCACTAAATTAGGTGTTTTCTCAACAGGCACAAAACCTGACTCTTCTGAACATAAAATGTTGTCACCTTGCCTTTTACCATGTGATTCTGAATTGGAGTTTGTTTCTAAATGGAAAACCATCTGGTCAGTTTTATCATCCACGGTACTGGTTACTGTAGACTCTGGCATCTGAACACCACCACTCAATACACTGGGTGGACAGCAACTGGACTTCAGACTACAAGCCCCTTCATGCTCAAAAAGGGATCTTGTTACATTTGTCTGACACTCAGAATCATTTTCAGAAGTGTTCAGTGAATCTTTTGCCTCTTCTATGAAGACTTTGCTGGGGGAATCTGTTGTTTTACTTGGCTTTTGGTCCGAACAAACAACTTGTTCCAATTTTGTTTCTGAATGAATGATTTCTTCTACTGGTTTTATGCAATTCTGAGAGAATACGTTACTTTTCTCTGATATTGAATTTTTATTAGAGTCCAATGAGGATGCACCACTTTCAGAAGGGCTACATTTGGTAGTTATGACACTAGGACTGAAACGCTGATTACCACTTGGAACATTACTCCCAATTGCTGCTGTTTTCAGTGCTTCAACATTCCTGGACTTATTCAGCATCTCTACTTGCTTCCGGCAACTTAGGGGCATTGTTTTTTTTGCTTTTAATATCTTCCGTTTAATTCTATCTGGACTTGCCATCTTTCATATCCTGGAATTCAAGACATCATATTTAAGTGCATTCCTCTAGCGAATAAAAGTTATTTACTACTGAAATAAAGTTATTTATTTAGAATATTAAAATAACATTGATACTGTCTCTCCAGATAATCACCTTAATGAAAATTATATCCATTTTCATGTCACTGAAAACAGAAATCATTTCTATTGTTTCTATAAATCAAAACTATATAAATTCAAAATCTGTATTGCTAGTAAGCCTCTACCTGATAGTTTTATCTAGCCACTTCTTGTTGTATCACCTCAGTGCCATAACCATTCACTATTTACTCATCAAGGTAAGTCAGAGTTTAAATAATCTAAAGATTAAATTGTACTAATTCATAAAAACAAAAAAAAAAGTTTTGTATAAAACATTCCATTTTCCATACACAATGGCATCTGTTTAAGATTTCCTAATGTTCAAGTTTCTAAAATAAATGTGGCCGGGTGTGGTGGCTCATGCCTGTAATCCCAGCACTTTGGGAGGCCGAGGCGGAAGAATTATTTGCAGTCAGGAGTTCGAGACCAGTCTGGCCAACGTGATGAAACCCTGTCTCTACTAAAAATACAAAAATTAGCCAGGCATGGTGGCATGCACCTGTAATCCCAAGCTACTCGGGAGGCTGAGGCACAAGAATCACTTGAACCTGGGAGGTGGACGTTGCAGTGAGCCAACATCGCCCCACTGTACTCCAGCCTGGGCAACAGGGTGAGATGGTCTCAAAAAAAATAAAATAAAATAAAACAAGCACTAAGATACATAACATTCCAGCTTAAATAAACAAGCCAACTAACCGGGCGCAGTGGCTCACGCCTGTAATCCTAGCACTTTGGGATGCTAAGGTAGGTGGATCACCTGAGGTCTGGAGTTCAGGCCAGCCTGGCCAACAGGGCAAAACACCATCTCTCTCTTAAAAATACAAAACTTAGCCAGGCGTGGTGGCACATGCCTGTAATCCCACCTTCTGGGAGGCTGAGGCAAGTGAATCACTTGAACTCAGGAGGCAGAGGTTGCAGTGAGCCAAGATAGTGCCACTGTACCCCAGCCTGGGCTACAGAGCGAGATTCTGTCTTAAACAAACAAACAAACCTGATATGTATGCTAAATAAATCCAGAAAAACAGAAGAACACTCTTCATTAAGACCCTAATGTGCCTATATAATTATATTTTTCCTATAGGACTGTGTATTATTTGATTGTCTCTTCGTGAATACAATTCTTGCATTATTTTCCAAAGAAAATGAACAAATCAAATCTTTTCTCTAGCATGGTTTAATGATGTATTTGCTAAAACTGATAATCATGATGCATAAAACTAGCAGCTTTGCCTGAAGACACTGCTACAGTTTTGTGTCCTACAAATAAAAACATTCTTATATTATTTTAAAGGGAGAATTCAACCAGGTGTGGCACATGCCTGTGGTCCCAGCTACTGAGGAGGCTGATGCAGGAGGTTCACTTGAGCCCAGGAATTAGACACTGCCGTGATCTGTGATTGCACCACTGCACTCCAGCATGGGCGACAGAGCGAGACCTTGTCTCAAAGAAAGAAAAAGAAAAAAAAAAAAAGGATTCCTATAAAAAAAAAGAAAAAATATGGTTAATTTATAATTGAATGTGCTATGTTGTTATTTCTGACAGGAGAAAAGTGCTGTTTTGACTGGAAATTGATGAGAACGAAATCCTATACTTAAAATTTTAAACATCAGATAATTGGGAATTTTTTCCTGATTACCTTCTGGTTTCATAAATTTCAAACTTTGGCTTCTCTAATACTCACATATTACAGGTGCCAGGCACCAGAGACCACATTCCCAACACAATCAGGCTGACAGGCTATAATTACCTACATCCAGAAATGACTCTGAATCACAAACACATCCCACTAAACACAAACAAAGCCACCAATCACAAAATGCCTGAAACCACTCTACTGCCAGCTGACACAAAGAAGAAATCAAGGTGAAGAGAGACAGGGGTCTCAAATGACTATACTTAAAATATCTTACTATTGTAAATCTGATGAAAACGTCCAACCATGCGAACATATTGTTACTATGGCCCTTCTAAGGGCCTTTGGAAAAGGCCCAAACTAGTAAAAAGTGCTGGAATTTAAGCTCTAGAGTAAAAAAGTACCTCTACATTTGATGCATACAAAAGACTTGTAATATGTGTTAATTACAAAGTATAATAAAGTGAACATCTTTGAAACACCCACAACAAATAAGTAGAATACTATCAGTAACCTGCATTTACTCATGTTTCTCCAAACAATGCCCCTTGCACCTCTTCTCCATCCTGATGAAGTTTCCTAAACTTAGTTTATAATTCTATTACTTTTTCTACAGTTTCATCATAAATGTCATATGTAAACAAATATACTGTTTAATTTTGTTGAGCAAATTATAGCTAATACTTGTTTTTTCAGTTATATGTATGTATAAAATTCATCCATGTGCTTCTGTATAGCAATAATTCATGTTCTTCTTTGCACTGTAATAATTCATTGGGCAGATATTCCAAAATTTGTTTATCTGATCATTTGTGAAAGATCTTTGGGTCACCTCCAGTTGCTTTTTTTTTTTTTTTTTTTGAGACAGGGTCTTGCTGCTCTGTTACCCAGGCTGGAGTGCAGCATGGCTCACGGCAGCTTCAACCTCCCAGGCTCAAGCTATCCTCCCACCTCAGCCTCCTAAGAAGCTGGGATTACAGGCATGTACCACCACACTTGGCTAATTTGTAAAAAAAATTTTGTGGATATTGGGTCTTACTATGTTGCCCAGGCTAGTCTGAAACTCCTGGACTCAAGTGATCCTCATGCCTCAGCCTCCCAAAGTGCTGGGATTACATCTCCAGTTCTTGTTGATGTTCTGACACAACAACACTATTCTGAACACTTCTGTCTCAAGGTGCTTATGTGTAAGCATTTCCTGGGTGAATTTCTGGATGCTAATAAGGTATCTATGTTCAACTTTTCAAGAAAGCCAAATTATTTCCTGGAGCAGTTCTACCAGTTTGCATCTATACAGTCAATATATAAGAGTTACCACTGAGCCACATCCTCTTGAACCCTTGGTACTGCCAGACTTGATTTTAGTCAATCTACTTGGATAAAGAATTAGCTCTCATTGTCTTAATTTGCCTTTCCCTAATTACTGTCATCTTTTCCTATGTTTATTAGCTATGTTTACTTGTCTGTAAAAATTCCTGGTTATTTCCTGCTCATGACTTCTTGGGTGTTTTTCCTCTCTCATTTTTAAAGCATACTTAACATATTATAAACCATATTCCAGCCAGGTGTGGTGGCTCACGCCTGTAATCCCAGCACTTTGGCAGGCTGAGGTGAATGGATCACCTGAGGCGAGTTCGAGACCACCCTAGCCAACAGGGTGAAACCCTGTCTCTACTAAAAACTACAAAAATTTGCTGGGCGTGGTGGCACACGCCTGTATTCCCAGCTACTTGGGAGGATGAGGCAAGAGAACCACTTGAACCCAGGAGGTGGAGGTTGTAGTGAGCTGAGATCACATCATTGTACTTTAGCCAGGGCAACAGAGTTGGACGTTGTCTTAAAAAAACAAAAACCAAAAACAATAACATATTCCTTCGTCAATCCTTTGTTATATGAGTTACAGGTGTCTTACCAGGCTCTTCCTAATTTTCATATAGTCAAATTAAATATATTTTTTTCTTTTATGGTTAAAGTTTCATCTCTCTTCCTTGTGACATCCTTCTCTACCCCATGATGTTGTGTGAAATAGTGAAGCCTACTGGTGGTAAAGAAGCCTTTCGCTGATGTAAGTTATTTAAGGACAAGGTGCTATACCACGGCTGTGCAATTATTACAATATACAGTAAGATTGCAGAGTGCCAGCTCAGAGTACATTATTGTTAAACTTCATAAAAAACATGAACTAAATGGTCATTAACATTACATACTTCGTAACTGGTTAAACTTACGGCTCTGAGGAGAGGTATTTCACCTGGAAAACGTCTCCATGAGAATGCTTAGGGGAGACAAGCAAAACTGCCAATAAAAGGTGCAAGTAAGTTAAATATTTCTAACTATATAGTTTGCCTATCATTGAAACTGTTTAGTGAAGTTGAATTCATTGCTGAGAATAAAAAATAACCACCCAAACTAATTGGGGATCCCTACCATCACCAGAACTCTTCTCTTCAGCCAACTTGAATTCTTTGCTGTCACATAAACCAAAACTCACAGATCTTTGAGATGGAAACACTGTCCTATAAACACACTGCAAAAGATGAATTATATTTTCTCAAGTTTTAATTATATTTTCTCAAGTCTTTTACAATTTAAGTCCTTAATCCATCTAGAATTTATTTTAGCACATAGAGGAAAGGACTTATTTTCATTTTTTCCTCAGATGTACAATTGCTTGGCTGTATCCTCACTGTTAACTTCATTTTAAAATCATAAAATAATCTAATCTGTACTTTTCATCTGTTTTATGATGATGTAAATTCTACTGAATATGATGTTGACCATCCTTTACCTTTAACTTTTTTTTTTTTTGAGACAGAGTTTCACTCTTGTTGCCTAGGCTGCAGTGCAATGGTGCGATCTCGGCTCATCACAACCTCTGCCTCCAGGGTTCAAGTGATTCTCCTGCCTCTCGAGTGGCTGGGATTACAGGCGTGTGGCACCACGCCTGGCTAGTTTTGTATTTTTAATACAGATGGGGTTCCTCAATGCTGGTCAGGCTGGTCTCAAACTCCCGATCTCAGGTGATTTGCCCACTCTAGCCTCCCAAAGTGCTGGGATTACAGATGTGAGCCACCACACCCGGCCTACCTTTAACATTTTTTTATCAATTTGTTTCTTGTAATACCCAAAAATTTTCACCTAATGTCTTTCAACAGAATTTAATCCATTTACATTAGTTATACATAACATATTAAAACCCTAATTTACATTATTGTTTCTATATTATTTAATATTAAGGTGTCTTTTTTTTTTTTTTTTAAAGATCTGACTCTGCTTCACAATTGCATGGAACTGACTACCTTTAAAGATTTCTGGCTAGGCACAGTGCCTCACGCCTGTAATCCCAGCAGTTTGGGAGGCCGAGGCGGATGGATCACTTGAGGTCAGGAGTTCAAGACCAGCCTGGCCAACATGGTGAAACCTCGTCTCTACTAAAAATACCAAAAAAAAAAAAAAAAAAAAATTAGCCAGGCATGGTGATAGGCACCTGTAATCCCAGCCACTCAGGAGGCTGAGGTGGGATAATCACTTGAACCCGGGAGGCAGAGGTTGCAGTGAGCCAAGACTGAGCCATTGCACGCTAGCCTGGGCAACAGGAGCGAAACAGTCGCAAAAAAAAAAAAAAAAAAAAAAAAAAAAAATTGATATAAACATTCATGTACAAGTTTTTATGTGGACATAATGTTTTCATGTTTCTTTGTTCTATATACCTAGCAGCAGAATTATTTGGTCATGTGGTAACTCTAGATTTAATCTTCTGAGGAACTACCAAGACTGTTTTCCAAAATGTCTGGAACAACTTACACTCAAACCAGCAGTGAATGAGAGTTCCAATTTTAACACCCTTTTCACCAACACTTCTTATCTGTTTGTCTTAGTATAGTTATCCTGTTGCAACTGATGTGGTGCCTTATTGCCATTTTGATTTGCATTTACCTGATGGCTAATGATGTTGAGCATCTTTTCACATACTTCTTGGAGGCTTGTGCATCTTCTTTAGATAAATGTCTATGCAGATTCTTTGAGAATTTAAAACCTGTGTTATTTGCCTTTTTATTACTGGCTTGTAAGAGTTCCTCATATATTTTAGATTAAGTCCCTTATAAGATATAATTTACAAAGTTTCCCTCATATTCTATGGATTGTCTTTCCCATTCCTTGATGGCATGCTTAGAAAATAGTGTAAAATTTTCATAAAGCATAATTTCTAAAGATTTGAAAACACATTTACATGTGTTTTTAGCAAAGATATCACAGCCTAATCCAAGGTCCTAAGAATTTTGAAGTTTTATAAGTGCTTATATTTAGGTTTTTGATCCATTTTCATTAAGTTTTGCATATGGTGAGAGATAGGAGTCTGTTGGAAACAGGCCCCAAAACTGGACATAAACAAAATCTCTGCAGCACTGTGACATGATTGTGATGGCTATGACGCCCACGCTGAACGTTGTTGGTTTACCAGAATAAGGGCAAGGAACGCCTGGCCCATCCAGGGCGGAAAATCCCTTAAGGTGTTCCAGAACCGTGAACAACAGCATGAGCCATCTGTGCCTTAAAGACATGTTCCTGCTGCAGATAACTAGCCAGAGCCCACCCCTTTGTTTCCCGTTTTAGTTAAATTATAATCTATAGAAACAATGCTTATCACTGGCTTGCTGTAAATAAATATGTGGATAAAACTGTGTTTGTGGCACTCAGCTAGGAAGGCTGTCAGCCTCAATTCCCACCCTGCACTCTATATTTCTATGTGTCTTTAATTCCTTTAGTGTCGCTGGGTTAGGGTCTCCATGACTGAGCTGGTCTCAGCAAGTGGTGCCCATATGTGGGGCTTGAACCCAGGTCG